CCAAATTTTAGAATTAAAACCGCGATAGGACGAAAGTTGCAAGGGTTTGAACATGGCGCTCCGGAAGGCAACCGTCCAATTTGAGATGCGTGTAGCTCGGCCAAATTCGTGGTTTTATTTCTGGTCTTTTGACAGTGTGTTCTACACTGGGAGTACTTCTTGCCTGCCAAATTATTAGAAATAAAACCGCGATAGGACGAAAGTTGCAAGGGTTTGAACATGGCGCTCCGGAAGGCAACCGTCCAATTTGAGATGCGTGTAGCTCGGCCAAATTCGTGGTTTTATTTCTGGTCTTTTACAGTGTGTTCTACACTGGGAGTACTTCTTGCCTGCCAAATTTTAGAAATAAAACCGCGATAGGACGAAAGTTGCAAGGGTTTGAACATGGCGCTCCGGAAGGCAACCGTCCAATTTGAGATGCGTGTAGCTCGGCCAAATTCGTGGTTTTATTTCTGGTCTTTTGACAGTGTGTTCTACACTGGGAGTACTTCTTGCCTGCCAAATATTAGAAATAAAACCGCGATAGGACGAAAGTTGCAAGGGTTTGAACATGGCGCTCCGGAAGGCAACCGTCCAATTTGAGATGCGTGTAGCTCGGCCAAATTCGTGGTTTTATTTCTGGTCTTTTGACAGTGTGTTCTACACTGGGAGTACTTCTTGCCTGCCAATTTTAGAAATAAAACCGCGATAGGACGAATGGTGCAAAGGTTTGAATACATTGCCCTGCACGCGTGTCGACCAAATCCAGACGCCTGTAGCTCGGCCAAATTCGTGGTTTTATTTCTGGTCTTTTGACAGTGTGTTCTACACTGGGAGTACTTCTTGCCTGCCAAATATTAGAAATAAAACCGCGATAGGACGAAAGTTGCAAGAGTGTGAATATATTGCGCCGTAAAGGAATCGACCTCCTTTACGTCCTTTAAATTGTGCGACCTTTTTTGTGTGGTGATGCTGTTGGGACCGCACTTGGTGCTTTGTGTCAGAGATGTGACGACCAGAGGCCGTTTTTAGGCCGTTTTTAATGATCACATAGTACATAGTCGGATAGAAAAAGCTGACCCTTTTTTAGCTAAAATTTTTTAGCTAAATTCACGGACGTGACAAAAGAAAGAAATGTTAAAGAAGTATGGCAAATGAAATCATTTAGGCGGGTTTGGAGCTTTTTAAGTTCTTCTCATTCATTTTAAAGATGATTGGAAACTATAATGGAGACGATATAAAATCTGGAGGGGAGAAAAATGGGTGTCACTAAAGAGAGCTGAAAAATGTATAAGAAGTCATGAGTTGTGCCTGTCACATGAAAATACTAAACGAAGAGCATAGATGCCGGTCAGATAGTAAAACAAATTCGTGTTAAAATCATTATTACTTGAAATTATTAACAGTGGAGTATGTTTGGCCTCATGTTTCAAGCGAAAAGAGGTGTCTCTATTTTCCCTGCAAGGTAACAAAATTGTATTCTGTCTGGAACAGGCAGCCAGAGAGTAGACATAACGGAACCAAATTTTGTCCCGATTATGTTGACATAATTGCCTACAGATTTAAACCTCGTTCGGACGAGAACCCAAGTTCTAACCAAGGTTTCTGGGGTGGTTTTCACGAACTTTATAAAACTTGTTAAAATTAAGAGGTTTTTCTTTTGGTTCTAAATGATCCTGGCGAGTCTCTGATAGCCTTCGTGCGTTTCCTGTGGGCTGCCACGGCCTCCTAGATCACGAAAAAAAATCCACGGTGGTCTTCTGAACAACGGCTAGAGGGCAACACGACAAAAACGGAAAAAAGTGCGCTTTGTCTCGATTTTCCTTCATGTCTCAAATTACCCCGTTCTACGGTATTTTTCGGTGTTTTCACTTTGATTTTTGGAGAGCTGAAGTAGCAGTTGAGGGATTGCCAATGAGTCTAATGCATCCTTTATGTGATGCTCTTTCGATATGTGCAAAGCGATTTGCAAACAGTGGCATGGTTTGAACAATCTCGAAGAAGTCCGTGACCCCTGCACGGAGCAAGATCGAAGCGAGAGCTTCGCCTCACTGCCGCTTCAGGGTGTTACCGCCCCCTGATTGAAGCTTGGTGCTTTATACATGATTACTTATAATGTTGATGTGGATGATGGTTGGTTAAAATTCAAATCGGGTCAAAATTCAAGCATCCCGCGAGATTGAACCACAGTGAACAGTCCAGTTTGCTATACAACAGCAAAGAAAAGTACCAGTTGGCAGCTGCTGCTAAAGCAGCCACCAGTTCCTTGGGATACTCCTAGTTTCTCAGGAAACTGCACAACGCTCCCCTCCGCGCGAACGCGTTCTGCCGACGCACTTTTCAAATACGTTGATTCCCCCCAAGAGAGACGTAGAGGGACCCTCATACCATCTTCCTCGGCCATAAACGCTGCAACTTTATTAAGATTGTCTTAGATCCACTTTTCGAAACACCATAGAATTTTTTCAACATGAATACGGTGCGACGTCGCAGTAATAATAACAGCACTGTTAAATTAATCCGGAAACATCCTTAATAAATTAAAAAAACGCTTAAAAATTGTCACTGATTTAGCAACTTGTAGGAAAACTTGAAATTTTTGTTTTATAAAAATGTGAACGTAGGAGCCTTTTGGCTCAGCCTGAAGCGGTAGCTTTTCCTACTTAAAAGACAATTGGTTGATGTAGAGTCTTAAGGTCCCTTGGGGAGTCATCAGAGAAAGAAGTCGAGTTGTCTTCGTCGGATGTTAAATTTAGAGGTCGTCCTCACTACCCACACGGAAAATAGACGTCTATAGATAATTGTAGATGGTCTATTATAGCTCTAACATGGTCTCTAGATGTCTATAGACAAATTTAGACACCAATAGACCGTCTATTCGCCTTCTAAATAAATCTATAGACATATATATACTAGGGTGGATCTTAATTTCTGACCCCCCGTTTTTATTGGCGAAATGGGGTCCCTAGGATAGTAGAAGATCATTAACGAGTCGCATTTGATCCGGAAAAAATTGTATCAGCTTTAGGGGAGGGCTCAAAACTGGGTCAAAACGCCAAAATTGGTAGTTTTTGAAGTATTGCCGCCGAAACAGATGAGATATCAAAACGCCTGAGGTCTGAAAAGATGCGGAATTTAATTACCTTTCCAACGAGCTATAAATCATTGTTGCCACACAAATATTTCCACTTGAATCATTGCATTTTATGCAGAAAAGTGGGGTCAAAAATATCAAAATCAGTCCAATTTCGGTAGGGTGAAGTTCTAAAATTGGCCGAATCGACATCTCTTTATGGAAATGGATGGGTCTCAACAAGACAAACAAAAAATGTCAACACATGCCGTGGGCTAAGATGCGAAATGAAGCAGTAATTTAGCCTCAAAAGTGCCAAAAATCACACTTTTTCCATCAAAAGAGCCAGCTGGCTGGCCGGAACTTGACCAAACTCGGTTTCCAGGTGAGCCGGGACCACCTTATCTCAAATCTGAAAGGAGAAGTCCTGGACTCCCCGAAGGTTCGTGGCCAGAGCTCCTTTGACCTCGAAAAAATCACGCTAAATGTCCTTTTGGTTGAAAAACGAAGATTTTTGGCACTTTTGAGGCTAAATTACTGCTTCATTTCGCATCTTAGCCCATGGCATGTGTCGACATTTTTTGTTTGTCTTGTTGAGACCCATCCCCTTTTATAAAGAGATGTCGATTCGGCCAATTTTAGAACTTCACTCTACTGAAATTGGACTGATTTTGATATTTTTGACCCCACTTTTCTGCATAAAATGCAATGATTCAAGTGGAAATATTTGTGTGGCAACAATGATTTATAGCTCGTTGGAAAGGTAATTAAATTCCGCATCTTTTCAGACCCCAGGCGTTTTGATATCTCATCTGGTTCGGCGGCAATACTTAAAAAACTACCAATTTTGGCGTTTTGACCCAGTTTTGAGCCCTCCCCTAAAGCTGATACAATTTTTTCCGGATCAAATGCGACTCGTTAATGATCTTCTACTATCCTAGGGACCCCATTTCGCCAATAAAAACGGGGGGTCAGAAATTAAGATCCACCCTAATATATACATCATTAGACCATCTATAGCTTGTCTAACGATCGTCTACGAGATCTACGTCGATCCATAGCCCAGACATAGCCGTCTATAGCTTCTCTAACGATCGTCTACAAAATCTACGTCGATCCATAGTCCAGACATAGCCGTCTATAGCTTGTCTAATGATCGTCTACAAAATCTACGTCGATCCATACCGTAAGCCGGGGTAATATGAGACAATTTCGGGGTAATATGAGACGGAGTTTGGGTTGCGTAAGATTCAATCGGAGCTCGCTATTCGGCCGCAAAGAGAGCCAATGCTGTAAAAAAATAATTACTCTTTGTTGGTACCATTTTTCGCCGTGAAGTTTGACAGGGATGAGTCATCAAATGCCAAGAGCATTATAATTCTAACGATAAAAATCATGCGTCTCATGTTACCCCGAAATTGTCTCATATTACCCCGGCCTACGGTAGTCCAGACATAGCCGCGTATAGCTTGTCTAATGACCGTCTACGAAATCTACGTCGATCCATAGCCCAGACATAGCTGTCTATATAGCTTGTCTAATGATCGTCTACAAAATCTACGTCGATCAATAGTCCAGACATAGCTGTCTATAGCTTGTCTAACGACCGTCTACAAAATCTACGTCAATCCATAGCCCAGACATAGCCGTCTATAGCTTGTCTAGCGACTGTCTACAAAGTCTACGTCGATCCTCCATAGTCTACACATAGTTGTCTATATCTTGTCTAACAACCGTCTATAAGATCTACGTTGATCCATAGTCTACACAGAGCCGTCTGCAGCTTGTTAAGGATCGACCACAAGATCTACTTCTCTGGTCTCATGCCATAGTCCAGACCGAACGATTCAAACGTAAAGTAGGGCATCCAATAATTCAAACGAAGAGGCATTCCCGCCTCACCCCTCGCGATCCTCTCGACTCTCGACGGAGACGAGAATCGAGTTTAGTTTCGAGTGGAGGTTTCGGCAATTCGGATGTGGTCTGCTACTTTCATTTTCAATCGCAGATTTTGATCAAGCTTCTCCTTCGTTTTCATGCGCGGTGAGTTATCACTTTATCTGGTTTCTAGCCCTTTCATGTTAATATTAAAATATCGCTCCAAACATGTGAAAAATAGTTGGTGTAATAACATAACCTTGAATTTCGCAATTTAGCAGGAAATTGGAAGGCTCCTCTATTTATTGCTGCCGCCAAATAAAATATTTGACTTTTTATTTTTATTGTTCATGTAACCTTGTAAAAGTGCCCAGAAAATTACGATATCTGGTTGAGATTGACTTGGTTTGATAATTCATCTACGCTATTTTTTCCGTCTCTCTGAGCTTTATTTCTCAATTTTGTCTGCCATGACAAATTTGAGAAATTAGTGTTTGTGATACAGCCCAGTACACCTTTTCTAACATAAAGAACATAAAGCTGCCATCTGAATATTTTGTTCTTTCACAGGTGCACTATAAAAACACGACTGGCTGCGAAAGAAACGTTTTGCCAGTAGACCGCTCTCTTGGTCTTTCTCAGATCCAGACTGCTGCCCATAGCCATAGACTTGGCTTTCCTGTTTTGTGAGTTTTATTTATGAAATTCCTATACATGCTAAAATGTTATTATTTCAAATACAATTTCCCTGTGCCTGCTCAATTATTACTAAAACAAAGTGTGGGGCTCAATTGACAATATTCTCACTTTACAGGCCTTTCTTTTCGCTTCGTTGACACCAAATCTGAGAATGAAATGTTCAGCACTAAACAAAGTATTCCTTTGAAGTTTCTGAATATTCTACAAACTTAGTGAGTAAGTTCATTTCACTCAAAATCTTGATGCATTTTAAGATCTGACTGTAATTATTTTGTTCTTTGTTTCAGAGAACTGTCAGCACTTCTCAACAAATATGCTATGGCTGTGATTGTGCAAGAATATTTACAATAATATTTTTCTGGTTTTCAAAAATTGGCTGCCAATGTTTTGAGGATTGAGATTTTGTCTCGCTCTTTCGGAGTTGATAGAAATAGGCAGACAATAGAAGGTTTTGAGAAAGTTTACACACCTTGAAAAACTTATTGTTTACTTCTTTATCAGAAATTTGTCATTGAAATTAAGAAAGAATAAACTCAGGGACATTGTTTTTATCGATACTTTCCTAGCAACCAAATGATTAACCGTCTGAGTTACTACAATAAACAAAACTTACAAGTAAATGAACAAGTGGAAAATATTTAGTGTCCCAATGAAGTAAAATTTACAATCCACTTAAAGGCATGCTGTTAAATTGAAACACTAGTCTTGCTCTTGAGAGTCTTGTTCAGATGTGTCATTGTCAGAGCAAATTAAATCAAAACAATTGGAACTTAAAAGCAATGGTCCTGTAAAATAAATTACATTAAAATAGGATGTGGTGGAAACTCCTACAGCTATTTAACTCCATCAAGTAAGACACATACCGTCAACTCCCTGAGTATAAAACAGAGCGATCTGAGATACCTCTTCCTCTATCTTAATAAGATCGTGCCCAAAAATCTTCACAGCACTTCTATCAGTAACGCCATCCCATTTGCAAATGCGATTGAAATAGTCAGCAGCTGCTCTGGTTGATTGACGCATGTCCTCTGTAACAGTCAGACATGAATGAACTCAGAGCATCGACTCATTTTACCCAAAAGTGATAACAAAAATCCCACCATGAATTCCCAATATCACCACTGCGCAATCTGGTTTATCTCCTCGAGGGAGATCCACCAAGTCTCCACTTTCATAATGTTTTCCTTTTGCATCAAAATTGTAGTAGGTGCAAACTTGACCATTGTCCAGAAAAATACCAACAAGATGAAGAGATGACACTGAAACAAAACAATTATGATACTGTTAGATCAGATGTCAGGGACGATTGATGACAATCCAATATTAATAACTCAATTGTCTTCCATAAGATATGAAAAGTACGAGAGGTTCCATACAAATTATAAACGGCTTGTGTTTCTCTCAAATAAATGTGTAACATAACCTGTGGCATGGTGGTTAAGAGGCAGAGGTGCACTAGAACTGATGAAAGCATCATTTTCAAACTTACTTTTGAATTTTTCAATTCACGCAGTTTTCAATTTAAAAATTCGTGATGTTTTCCTTATTGTCCAAGATCTAGAAACCTGGACCACCAAACTCGTCACGACGTCGCTGGCCGATGCGACCAAAGCGGATCGGTGCGGAAGCATCACAACAGCCGGAAGTGGCAACGGGACGAAATTTAAACGAGCAAGAAAAAAAAAACGCAGCCGAGCCCCGGGGCCCCTCGGCAGCGGCGCTACCCACCCCACCCCCATTCCCCCTCCCCCTCCCCCCTTCCAACCCCGCGCGGCTGATCGCGACGATCGCGACCCCCGCAGCTCCGCGCCCTCGGTGAGATGGCAACAGCGTACGTGGAGATGAACATGCCGTTGCCGAAGGTGACCGTCACGACGGTGAGGTGAACGCCAACAGTCGCAAGCTCAGCCAACCCCCGCAGGGCCCCCGCGACCCTCGCTGTCCCCCCGCAGTTCCCCGCGGCCCCCCGCGGCCCCATGCGGCTCCACGCACCACCCCAGCTGTCCGCAGCCCCGCGCCCTCGACGAGAAGGCGACGGTGTAGCTGGCGATGAACTTGCCGGTGGCTAGGCCGCCGCCAGCGCAGCACCGCAGCCCCGCAGCCCCGCGCCCTCGACAAGAGGGCGACGGTGCAGGCGGTGGCGATGAACTTGCCGGTGCCTAGGCGCCACCGCCAGCGCGGTGAAGTGGCCGCGCCCACCGCGGCGACCCCCGCAGCGACCCCCGCAGCCCCACGCGGCCACTCGCGGCCACTCGCGGGCCCACGCGGCTCCGCGCACCCCCACAGGCACCGCAGCACCGCAGCACCGCGCCCTCGACGAAAGGGCGACGGTGTAGCTGGCGATGAACTTGCCGGTGGCTAGGCCGCCGCCAGCGCAGCACCGCAGCCCCGCAGCCCGCGCCCTCGACAAGAGGGCGACGGTGCAGGCGGTGGCGATGAACTTGCCGGTGCCTAGGCAGGCCACCGCCAGCGCGGTGAAGTGGCCGCACCCACCGCGGCGACCCCCGCAGCCCCACGCGGCCCCTCGCGGCCACTCGCGGGCCCACGCGGCTCCGCGCACCCCCACAGGCACCGCAGGACCGCAGCACCGCGCCCTCGACGAAAGGGCGACGGTGTAGCTGGCGATGAACTTGCCGGTGGCTAGGCCGCCGCCAGCGCAGCACCGCAGCCCCGCAGCCCCGCGCCCTCGACAAGAGGGCGACGGTGCAGGCGGTGGCGATGAACTTGCCGGTGCCTAGGCAGGCCACCGCCAGCGCGGTGAAGTGGCCGCACCCACCGCGGCGACCCCCGCAGCCCCACGCGGCCCCTCGCGGCCACTCGCGGGCCCACGCGGCTCCGCGCACCCCCACAGGCACCGCAGGACCGCAGCACCGCGCCCTCGACGAAAGGGCGACGGTGTAGCTGGCGATGAACTTGCCGGTGGCTAGGCCGCCGCCAGCGCAGCACCGCAGCCCCGCAGCCCCGCGCCCTCGACAAGAGGGCGACGGTGCAGGCGGTGGCGATGAACTTGCCGGTGCCTAGGCAGGCCACCGCCAGCGCGGTGAAGTGGCCGCACCCACCGCGGCGACCCCCGCAGCCCCCCGCAGCCCCACGCGGCCCCACGCGGCCCCTAGCGGCCCCTTGCGGTCCCCCCACAGTGGGCCAGAAGACCGGAGGAGGCGGCCGAAACTCTAGACGCGTTTTGAGCTCTTCGAGTCGCTAAACAGGACTCGAACCGAACGTGTGACCCCATCAATGGATTTGCTCTCCGTAAAAATTCTCTCCTATGAGTTGCTCGACTGAAGGGCATCATGGTCACTTGATTTCGCACAGCGTCTTATCGTCTTATCGGTCCGTCTCTCTTGCACCTATGTTGGTGTTTATGATCAATGTTGTAAACGTGGCAGCGAATGGCATTCCCTCTGCACTGCTCTGGACTGGACCGTCAGCCCGGCCGGTGCGCATGCGCGGACGCGGATAGACAGACAGACGTAGAGCCTTGTTGCGCGGCTGCGGCTTGCGTGCGGCGTGCTTGGCTGGGCTGGGACTCGACGCAACGCCAGAAGACCGTTGGAAGACCTGGATTGGAGAGAACTCCGATTGTTTGGCCCTTGCTCCCATATATTTTGAATTCTAATACATGCACGAATGGTTGATTCATCATGGAAGATGCCGTCGTACGGAAACGCGTCCGTGATTGTAAGTAATTGTTGGGCAGCCGGCGGCCTTGTCCTGACGGACAAGCAAAAACTCGTCATTACTTTGGTACCTCTCTTCTTTGTGAGTGTTAGTTACTGGATTGCTTTCTTATTTCTTGCATTTTAATTTCGTTTTTATTGTTTCTCGTGCCATTTTTATTTCTCCTCGAATGCTTGTGTGTGTTTGGTATAGGTTAGGTGCTTGTCGTGAGTTCAAAGTAGACGGTATGAAATGGCTGATCGTGGCTTCAAAAGGAAGAGTGACCTGTACAATTCCGTCCACAATGTTGCCCGTAAAGTGAAACGTAGTGTTTCAAAGAGTTTAGCTGAGGAGTTGGCTCTCTGGGGTGAGGCTGGATCTTCTCAAGAAGGCAATGATGTCCAGGGAGGAAGCTTTGTTTCGGAAACCCCAGACCAACAAATTCATTGTGAATTTGAAAATTTGGAAGATGCTGCTCATCTTGATCCTGCAGTTGAGAATAGAGATGCTATTGAGACTCCCTGTGTGGAGAATGACTCGTTCAATGATTGCCAGAGCAACTCTTCCTGTTTCAAGAATGTAGATGTAGATGTTAGAAGTTCCTGTTTAGTGGATGAGAAAATTACAGATGAGAATGAAAGCAATAGTTCCTGTTTATGGGATATGAGTTTCATTTGTCAGGGTGATAAGCTGGAGTTTGGTGTCGATGATGCACATTTAGATGAAACGTCAACCGGTGCAAGTGATGGTCAATGCACTGCTCTTCAATATGACTGCGATATTTGCATTAATTGTCGCTGCAATGTATGTGATACTTGTCTGCATACAGATGGAGTGTCATGTAGTCATTGTGAATACTGTGTACTGTGTGTAGAATCAGATGCTGAATCTGTCCATGATTGTTCTGATAGCGATGGTTCTGAGTCAGATTTGTTTGATGTCGATCCCTCTGAACTTAGGTCAGAGGAGGAAAATAGAAATGAAGAGATTAAAAGTCAATTTATTGACATTGTGCTTGAACAAAATGCTTCCCATGTTTTGGTTGGGAAGTTGTTAGAATTCTTTAGGGCTAATAACTTTGGCAACTTTCCAAAAACTCCCAAAACCCTGCTTAAGACTCCAACGGTAACTAAAGTAAGGTCTGTCCCGCCTGGAGAATATTGGCACCGTGGGCTTTCCAAAGATCTCATGGATTATATTGCAGAGTCTGGCTGCTCCCACATAAAATTATCATTTAGTGTGGATGGGGTGCCGTTAGCTAAATCTGCTGGAACTGAGTTCTATCCTATCTGTTGCTCTTTCAATGACTCTGAAGAAGTTGCCCTGGCCGGTGTTTATTTTGGCAAAGGTAAACCTCAGAGCAGTGATGATTTCTTAAAAGATTTCGTTGAAGAAGTTAATGAGTTGGTGGAGAAGGGACTTGATTATAAAGGAAACCATGTAACTGTGCAGGTTCATGTATGCATTTGTGATGCAGTTGCTAAAGCTTGGCTTCTTAATATTAAAGGACATGCTGGATATTTCAGTTGCAACAAGTGCACAGTTGAAGGTGAATTGATTTCCAGAAGAGTGGTATTTCTTGACCAGAAATGTGCCAAGAGAACGGATGAATCGTTCAATTCAATGCAGCAAAAGGGACATCACAATGCACCCACCATACTTTCATCTTTAAAGTCATTTCTCCCTGTGACCAATGTAGTGCTTGATTACATGCATTTGGTCCTTCTTGGAGTATTTCGTAAGATGATTTACATGTTGATTGCTGGCCCTAAGAAAGTGCGTCAGTCAGCAACAGTTATTTGTGTTATTTCCAATCAACTGACTGCTACTGCTCAGTGGGTTCCAAGTGACTTTGCCAGAAAGACAAGATCGCTTCAATATGTCAAGCGCTTTAAGGCAACTGAGTGGCGCTTGCTACTTTTGTATCTTGTTCCTATGTTTGAATCGTATTTGCCAAAGGCTCTATTTGAACACTTGCTAGTGCTACATGTCGCGATTCTCATTGTCAGCAGCAAAGAGCACATTCAGACCCACATTGATTATTCACAGGAGTTGATGCAATACTTTGTTAAAACTTTTGCTATACTTTATGGAAAGATGTTTGTTAGCCATAATTTTCATAGTTTGCCTCACTTAATCGAAGATTGCCGAGAACATGGAGTTGTTGACAATTTCAGTGCATTTAAGTATGAAAACTTTTATCAAGAATTAAAGAACAAGGTGAGGAAAGGAGAGAAACCATTGCAACAACTGGCTCGCAGGTACGAAGAGAAAACCTCAAGAAAGCCTAAGCCTTCTCAAGCCGCTCCGGATGGTTTTAGTGATGTGCACACTAATGGCCCACTTCCACCTTGGTGTCTAAATCCGCAATACTATCGCTACAAAGTAGGAAGTATTAAATTGAATTTATCAAAAGCCAATAACTGTTGTGCTCTCAGTGATGGGTCCATAGTTGTGATTGAAAATTTTGCTCGCTTGAAGAAGGATAAGGCAGGATTGTTAATTGGAAGAAAATACCTTTCTCTGTCAGACCTTTACACATTTCCATGCAAATCATCACTCTTTGGTATTTATTTTGCAAAACAGTTGTCTAGTTTGACTTCATGGCCTGTTGAAATGATAACCAAAAAATGTTTTCGGGTTCCTCTTAAAAATGGATTTGGAATTTTCCCCTTGCTTCATTAAATTATTTGGGTGCATTATATTTGAGATAAGGGGACGGCAAGGTATCTAGCAGCATTATGTTCAAATTTGTGTCCAAATCTTGAATAATTTTACTGATATGTTTTATTTTTGTTTGTTGCAGATAACTTTGTGCTTGCTAACTTTCCTGATGGCCCTGTAACAATACAGGGCCACTGGCTTACTGAAGATGAGACTCATGCAGCCTGGCCCCCTCTTGACAAGAGAGTTACTCCAATGGCCTATGATAAGTGGATTCAAGGTGGAAGACGAGAGCCTGAAGGTCATTGGCGTGTTTTTCCAGTCAAGATTAGATATTTCAATGGTATGTCAAATTTTTTTTCAAATATCCATTTATTTAAGGTGCTGCATGAAAGGGCTCATTCGACAATGATTCTGAACGCTTTCCTGTTTAGTAGCTGCATTGAAACATTTTTACAAAGAAAGACTCGGACTCCTAGTGGACTTATGCCACTTAGTCAAATGACCAGTGAAGGTAGTCACTGCTGTTACAATTATACTTGACTCTGTTGAACCTGAATACTTTCACCTCTTTGATTCTTTGCTTCTCTATCTGTTGATCTATCAATAGGGTTAAAAAAAAAAAAACTCCTTTCATTCCTCAGCACATCATGTGCAAATTCCTACTCATAGACTTATATCCTATTTTAACTTTTCACTTACTTAGAGCCGTCACATAAATTAACTGTCTTGATCATTTGAGCAAGATTATCATTGATGCAATGAGCTCATTGCAGTAGCACCTATTAATATAATGACTAATGCAATGTTTTCTTTTTCAGATATTTTTTCCAAAGTCCGTCTTAAGTTAAAGCAGGCGGAAGAAGTGACTGACACTGACCTGAATTCAGACAATGATAAAAATCCTACACGCAACCGCAAAGTCACAACGCACTATGGTCTAAACTCATCTGAGGACGAAAGTGAAGGCTTGGATGCAGTTTCCGTTAAGGTCCCTAAGGCACCCTCTCCACAGTTGACACTGGGTCAATTCTGCAAAGGTAAAAGTTAATTTTTTGTTTTGTAAAACACTTCAATTAAATTTTATTATGCGCATAACTCTTTTAGCTTTGCCATTTTTGTGCACAGGTCAAAGAATGAAAGAAGGATTGAGAAGTGTAAGTCTCATAACTAACATTAGTGAACTTTGTTTAAGTGTGTTACTCCAGTTTCTTTGTTAATGTAAAGCCGTACTCTTTTTTCCAGATGTCAAATGAGCGAGTCAAGAGGAATTTAGTTGGTGAGAATTTTGGCACAAGCAGTCACCCACATGAGAGATTGGTAAGGATTTAACTTTATTTCAGTCCCTCCGTCTTGAAAACAAATTACAATTTTAAGTATTTATTTTAAACATTTGCTTTAACAGAGGTCTAAGTCTGGAGAGGACAAACTCGAGAGAGAAAAGGGGACCTCAGGAAAAAACAATAATTCCGGGACAAGCAAGCTAGTGAGTTTTAATTTCTTTTCTTTGGTCTTGTTGTTTCGTAAACTATCTTCTTAATTTTTCTTCTTCCTGTGTTACAGGATATAGGTTTGTTTCGAGGCCAGACCAAGCTGCAAACGCAAGGTTCACTGAATCTCAGAACAGATATGCAGACAAATAATGGAGAGGACAAACTCGAGAGAGAAAAGGGGACCTCAGGAAAAAACAATAATTCCGGGACAAGCAAGCTAGTGAGTTTTAATATCTTTTCTTTGGTCTTGTTGTTTCGTAAACTATCTTCTTAATTTTTCTTCTTCCTGTGTTACAGGATATAGGTTTGTTTCGAGGCCAGACCAAGCTGCAAACGCAAGGTTCACTGAAGGATACTGGCTCACCTCACAGCCAGACTGACACCAAGACTGCTAAATCTCAAGGTGCAACAAATGCTTCTGATTCACCTTCTAGCCTAGTTGGCTTGACAGCTAAGGCCCGAGGTACACCAGTGGCTACTGATTCTCCTCAAAGCAAAGTTGACCTGCAGATAGCTAAGGCCCAAGGTACACCATTGGGTACTAATTCGCCTCAAAGCCAAGGTGACCTGAAGGCAGCTAAGGCCCAAGGTACACCAGTGGGTACTAATTCGCCTCAAAGCCAAGGTGACATGAAGAATGCCAAAGCCCAGGCCATAGCTTTAGCTGCAAAGATGTCAGATAACGGTGAGTGCCTGTCCTCTTTTCTGTTTGGAGATGGTATTTCAACTTTCATCTGTGCCTTTTTCTCCTTGCTTTTTTTCTAATAATTTTCAGTTTATTGGCCTTATTTAATTAGTAGTATAATAAATTTGTCTCTATCTTTAATAGATTTTATTTAATTTAATCTTAATATTTTGGAGTTCTTCTTTACATCTTACTTCATCACTTACTTATACACGCACAAGCAGTTCACTTGGAGAACAATCCACTCAAATTTTGAATGTCTGTTAATGTTCAATTGGTTTGAAAGATAATCACTCCTAACCCTCTTCACTGGCTTGTCTGTGTTCAGAATTCAAGGGATATGTTATCCTTGGTTTCACTGAGCTCCGGTCTCAAATGAAGGAGTTAACATCTGTTGTATCGAAAGCTAAAATGCATGATCGTAGACAGGAGGCTGTGCCTCCCTCATCATCAGGAAATGACACTTGCTCCATAGATGATGATTCCACTGACCCTCTAAGTGGTCTACCTGCAATGGATCATGAAACATGGAATGATTTCTGTGAGAAGCTCAATCGTGATAAGATGTTTGCTCGACAAGTGGTAATGGAATCAATACCTTAACTTACTTTCACCCCTTCTCACTCTCTTGTTAGTTTTGACAAAGCTTAGGTGATGGTAGTATCTTTTCTTTTTGCCTATCATATTTTCTAACTTGCCTTCATGTTAAATCTTTAACTGTACATTTTATGGTGAGCTGCTGGTAATAGACACAAATTGACTGCATGTTCTTGCTCTTTCTCTCCCACCCCCTTCCTTAATGTTAGCGCCCTTCCTTCCATCTTTTCAATTCTCTTTCCAGGGTGCTCCATTTCTTGCAGATCTTAATTTTTTTTTGTCTTACAGGTTATTAAACTGAAAGACTGCTGTGCGCATACAACAGCCATTGATGAATATGTACGCTATGCCTTGTCCTTAGTAATGACAAACTCCCTTGCCACGGAGTTTAACTGGGGAGGCCGCAAAAAAAAACAGTTCAGTAACCAATTTTTTGTTAAGGTTCTGCATTGTAAGTTTTTTTTTTTTTTCATATTTTGAGGTCAGTTTACCTTAAGAAAGTTTTGACAGTGTAGTTAATCTTTCATTCTTTTGTTTGCAGTCTTGCTTAAAAAACACACCAAGTTTCCTCGAAAAGAGGGAGACTTAAAAGAGATCGTGTCAAATTGGCTCAGGTTGGCTCCTCAACGCTCTGGGGGCATGAAATTTAGGAAATACATACCTCAGTAAGTATTTCTCAGAGTGCCACTTGTGTTGCAATATTGGTCTGTTTGTCTTCCTAAGATGGAAACTCATGTTGCTGTGAATGGCATGTGCAACTGTGGACCTCACCCACATAAATTTTCTGTTGTGTGCTAAATCCTAGCTGCAAATCTCTAGTATCTCCTCCTTATTTTATAGAATGCAAAGTGTAGTAAACAATATTCAGTGAAGAAGGTTTTCTTTATTTTTAATGGTATATATTTTACTTCATGCTAAATGTCAATGAAAAAATATTTCACAAGAAGTCAATCTCATTAAAGATTTGCAGCTAGTTAAAACAAACTCCAAGATGAGCCTTTTCACAACACATTGAAGAAGCTGCATTCAAAAAGTTCTTCTGCCTTTTTAATTACACTGTATTAATAATTTGTAGGTTGAATAGTTCTAAGGAGGCCAGAGCCAACGGTACAACTGAGAATGACAATGAAACTGTGAATGGTGATGAAACCCCAACTAAAAGGACGAGGCGCTCCCCGAAGAAGAAAACCTCACCACGAAAAGAGAGCTCTCCAAAGAAGGATAGGAAGGGTGCAGTGACCAAGTCAAAACTCCTTACTCCCAACAAAGTGGAAGAACTGAAAAAGAAGCTAGCTAAACCTAAGAAGACTGATGCTTCCTTTAGTGATATTGACAACCACTTTGATAGGTAGGTAATTTATATTGCTTTCTACCTCAACTAGAAATTAAGGATTGAATCATTGTTACACTGTGTCACTCATCTCTTGTTAGTTTCTTATAATTCAGTTACTGTTGTATTTATTGGTGTGTTCGCCTTTCTTTTCTTTGCAGTGATCATGATCAATCTTTTGGTTTAAATAATAGTGGTGAATCTGAAAAAGCCTTGAATCCAAAGAAGGATAGGAAGGGTGCAGTGACCAAGTCTGGCAAAGAGAAACGAATGAAAAGGATGCCTCATAACAGCTTGGACAATTATAATAATAGGTGAATATTTTTTTGACCATGCCAGTTACTTTTATTGCAATGAAATCTGTTCTGTAACATGGTTCTATTTGTTGCAGCTCTGATGAAGATAATGAAACAACTGACATGGGGAGAAAGAAGAGATAACTTTCCCTGCATGGCTCTCTACTGAACAAGGACCTTAAGTTTGAAGACTTTCTGAGGATGGTGAATAATTTGGTCAACTATTCACCTTTATTTACTAGTGGCCAAGTCTGTAACGACTTCTTTTCTCATTACAGTAAATCTGCTGATGCCACCAGCACACCGTTGAAACATGACAATACCATGAAAATTATGGAGGATGCAAAGTAAGTCCGCCTTATTTATGATCAGATAAAGCGCTCAATAACTTTTATGTGCCTCAAGTAGGAGGGTGTAACAGTCAAGGCATCTTTTTGAGATGGGTGATGTAGTGAAAGTGATATCACTTGTCATGTCACTCATTAAACCCAAATTAAATAAAAAATGTGACAAGTCTGCTAATAGCTTGGGAACTTCATAATTTTATGAGTGTATTGTTTATATTTTAAACTATTTGTCCTTGTGTCAGGACAAGTTGAAATTAACTCTTGACCCTTTTATAAAACAGTACTTGTGTTTTTTTTTTCTAGCACATCTGATGTGGTGTGGCAGGGAACAGAAAGTCTTAACTATACTAAAGATGAGGCTGATGGCGAAGATGAAGAGTTTTTGAACCCGAATAACCATGCTGACTAGTTGATTTATAATTGTGTTTCCTGTGAAGTATGTTATTGTGTTATAGTTAACTGTGTTTCCACTTTGATACTCATTTGCATTTCCAGTTTGATTGGTGTTTCATATGTAATTGTGTTTCTTGTTCAATACTTGACAAAATTCAGTGAACTATTGTGGCATTGATCAATAGTTTGATATGTAATTGTGTTTCTTATCTGATACTTGTATTCGTATTTCCAGTTTGAATCATAATGGCGTTTCATGTGTTTCTTGTTCGATGACTGTGAACTATTGTCATTGATCAATAGTTTGATATGTAATTGTGTTTATCTGATACTTGTATTCGTATTTCCTGTTAAATTCATAATGGTGTTTCTTGTGTTTCTTGTTCAATACTTCAGTGAACTATTGTGTATCAATAGTTTGATATGTAATTGTGTTTCTTATCTGATACTTGTATTCGTATTTCCAGTTTGAATCATAATGGTGTTTCATGCGTTTCTTGTTCGATATTTGTCAGGACTCTGTGAACTATTCTGTCATTGATCAATAGTTTGATATGTAATTGTGTTTATCTGATACTTGTATTCGTATTTCCTGTTAAATTCATAATGGTGATTCATGTGTTTCTTGTTCAATACTTCAGTGAACTATTGTGTATCAATAGTTTGATATGTAATTGTGTTTCTTATCTGATACTTGTGTTCGTATTTCCAGTTTGAATCATAATGGTGTTTCATGTGTTTCTTGTTCGATATTTGTCAGGACTCTGTGAACTATTCTGTCATTGATCAATAGTTTGATATGTAATTGTGTTTATCTGATACTTGTATTTGTATTTCCTGTTAAATTCATAATGGTGTTTCATGTGTTTCTTGTTCAATACTTCAGTGAACTATTGTGTATCAAAAGTTTGATGTGTAATTGTGTTTCTTGTTTGATACTATAGTATTTGTATTTCCAGTTTGAATCATAATGGTGTTTCATGCGTTTCTTGTTCGATACTTGTCAGGACTCAGTGAACTATTCTGTCATTGATCAGTAGTTTGATAGGTATGTGTTTCTTATCTGATACTTGTATTCGTATTTCCAGTTAGATTCATTAAGGTGTTTCATGTGTTTCTTGTTCGATATTTGTCAGGGCTCAGTGAACTATTCTGTCATTGATAATAGTTTGACATGTAATTGTGATTGTAGATTACTTGAGACGGCTCATACATGTTACAAGTTCTTTCTAAAAAAAAATTGTGTGAAAGGATTATGCTAACAATATTTCTGTGTTATTTTAGATGATTGAGTAGGCTTTATTTTCAGAAAGAACTAATAACATGTATGACCCCCTGGTCAAAGGATTACATGCATGAAGAGTCCAGTACGTTATTCTGTCATACTGAGAAGTACTGTCAATTAATATTTCATGTAATTAAATTATACTTTTTCTTGAAAATGTTTTAAAATGAGCTTGCCCTCCTCTCAGGTTATATTGTGGAAGTCTATCAAGCGGCTAGTGCATCTACATCCATACATATCTTAGACCGTCTATCTATAGACTCATCTAATTTGGTCTAGCGTTACCACAAAAGCTTACACCCTCCTCTCAGATTACATGTGTGGTGGGAGTCTATCAAGCTGGTGGTGCACCTACATCGATTTAGATCTTGACCGTCTATCTATAGACTCATCTACATTGGTCTAGCTCCTAGGCCTTTTAGATATTATTGGCACATTTTATTAGAAGTCTATAGATCTCAGGTAGAGAACCACTAGATGGCTTATGGACGTCTTTTATGCGTCTAAAGACAGACGTCTAGTAGCCGTCTTAAAATAGACGTCTAATAGACGTCACAAATTCGACCACTAGATGATGCATAGATAATCTACATATAGATTACAAAAGACCTCTATTAGACTCGTTTCCGTCTACAAATAGACGTCTAATATACGTCTTTTAGAGGTCTATTTTCCGTGTGGGATTGTCGGCCCTGACCGCAAGTTGTTGAAAGATCCAGTCGTGTTTCATGGTGAAAATGATATTATTGAATCATTGCTTTTGCAACTTCAAATAGAGGCTGGGGAAATTGTGGATCGTAGGGGTGAAGGGTTTAAACTAAATATGACAGAAAAAAGTGAGAAATTTTTTTCTGAGGCCACACACTGTTATGTATGTAAAGTATCTTTCTCAAAAAAAGGCGTGGTGAAATGCCGGGATCATAATTATTCCCAAAAATTAGATAATTATAATGGGGCAGCGTGCCAAATTTGTAATTTAAATATGAAAAGACGGGATTTTATTCCGGTTTTTTTCCATAATTTATCAGGTTATGATGGTCACCTGATTTTATCTGAAATAGGCCGTTTGTCTGATGGTTCAGACATGAAGGCTATAGCAAAAAACAAGCTTAAGTACATATCATTCAGTTGGGGTCATTTACGCTTTTTGGATTCATTTAATTTCTTAAGCAGTTCACTTGATAAGTTTGTCCGTGATTTAAGACAAGAGGTTTTAAAAAATGTTAAATCTTATTTTTCCTGATGCTAATGATAGGGAGTTGGTTTCTAAAAAAGGTGTCTATTGTTATAATTATTTTGACAGTGTTGAGAAATTTGAGGAAACTCAACTGCCTCCAAAAGAAGCTTTCAAAAATGATTTAAGTGGGGAAGATGTATCCGATATGGACTATCAGCATGCTCAGAAAGTTTTTTCTCACTTTAAACTTAAAAATTTATGGGAGTATCATGATTTGTATTTGCTTACTGATGTAATTTTGCTCTGTGATGTAATGGAAAATTTTAGAAGTGTTGAACTGGAAAATATGGGTTTAGATATTTGTCATTACTATACAACACCTGGTTACAGCTGGTCAGCTGCGCTTATGTATACAGGTCAGAAATTAGAGTTACTGGAAGATTATTGTTCACATATGTGTTTTGAAAATTGTTTGAAAGGCGGTGTGGCTACCATAAACACTAGGATGGTGGAGGCTAATAACCCCTTTGTTCCAAATTATGATCCAACTAAACCGAATAGCTGGTTATTATATTTGGATGCAAACAATCTCTATGGTGCGGCCATGTCTGGTCCACTTCCATATGCAGACTTTAGATTTTTATCAAAAGAAGAAATTGACAAAATTGATGTGAGTAAAATTTCTGATTCTGATGAAATAGGCTATGTATTTGAAATTGATATGTCCTACCCAGAATCGTTGCATAATGCACACAATGATTTTTGTTTGGCTCCAGAGCACTTAATCCCAAAATATGAAAACCTGTCACCCTTACAAAAATCTTGGATTGAAAAATGGAATTTACCAAAAAAAAGTACTAGGAAATTAATTCCGAATTTATATGATAAGAAAAATTATACTGTGTATGGAAGCACATTGAAACTTTATGTAGAATTGGGTTTAGTTATTGAAAAAATTCATAGAGTAATGGCTTTCTCACAGGCGCCCTGGTTGGCTCCTTATATTAATTTTAATACAAAAATGAGGCAGCAGGCCACTTCAGAGTTTCAAAAAAACCTCTGGAAGTTGAAAAATAATTCCGTCTTCGGAAAAACCTGTGAAAATGTAAAGAAAAGACGATCTGTGTCTTTTACTAGAGAAAAATCAAAATTTTTAAAATTGGTTCGATCACCTTTATTTCATAGTTTTGAGATTTTAGAACATGATATGATTATTGTTGAACGTCATAAGCCAAATGTTGTGCTCAATCGTCCACTGTATGTCGGTGCAGTCGTATTGGATGTATCTAAACAAATTATGTTCAACTTTCACTATAATGCAATTAAAAAAATGTATAAGGACAAAGTTACCATGTGCGCGAGTGATACAGACAGCCTTTTTTATCATATTGAAACTGATGATGTTTATAAAGATATGCAGGGTATGTCAAAGTGGTTGGATACTTCAGATTATCCTCTAGACCACCCTCTATATAGTTTAAAAAATAAGAAAGTGATGGGGTTGTTTAAAGATGAGAATAACGGTAAGATAATGACGAGTTTTATCGGTTTGCGTGCAAAAATGTATACATTTTCAACTGTAGATGGGAAAACCAAATGTGTTGGAAAAGGTGTCCCACGTCAAGCCTTAAAACAACAACTTAGTTTCAAGGATTATTATAAGTGCATTGTTGAAAAAAAGAACAAAAATGTTAGTTTTAAAAAAATAAGTTCTGATCGTAAGCACAACTTGTTTACAACTTTTTCAACAAAAAAAGGGCTTAGTTGTTTTGATGACAAAAGATATATTGAATCATGTAATGTGAAAACTAAAGCATATGGTCATTTTTCAATAAGGGATGATGGAGAGAGGAATATATCAGAACTAGTAGAGTTATTAGATGAGCTGTGATTAAGTTCAAAATATTGTATTTTTGTAATGAAATAAACTTATATGTGAAATAATAGTGTCTTTTTTTAACACCACACACACACACACACACACATACACACACACACACACACACACACCTACCATGCGTCACCCCGCCTATGGTAAATAGGGCATTGTGTCAGTCGATGCAAAAAAAGCCGCTGTTTCGTTTTTCTGACTCGTGTCAATGCGGTGAGGGGCTGTCATCGGCAATGTTCAAATATGGTCAGTGTGTGAGGGGGGGGAATCAAGAGACACTGCTGCTATAAGAACATGTCTCCATGAGCTGAGCGCCACTTTTCCATCAGAGCTGTTTTTAGTGCGAGTGAGTGTGTGTTCTCCCTTCTAACTGTGAAAGTGTTGTGTGAAGAAGAAAACGAAAAATGCAGCAAGCTCAGTGCGATGAAGCGGCAGGAAGCACTTCAGCTGGTAAGTAAGATCAATGATAGGATAGGGTTATTTTATTTAATAATCGTGTTTATTGTAAAAATGAGAAATTTTCTTTTGGTTGGGTAATTGATGTAGATACAAAAAGGCCCCATCCTGTACTGGAGCTGCTTGTCTCAGTGCTAAAGAAAATTGAGGCCTGCAAAACGTTTAAGAAGGCGCTGAGGGTAGAGGCCGGCGCAATCGCCAACAACTTGTGGGTCTGTGCACGCTATCACATCTTGGATGAAGAGACGATCGTTTTAATCGAGCTGGCGCGAGAAGTGACCGACAGCGTTATCGAAAAGGCGCCGGCGGCGCTCTGTCATGAAAATTTAAAAAGGGGCCCCTGGGCTTATGAAACATTTAAATGATGTATCAGAACAACTGGCTTCCGCCTGTGAATGAAAAATGTGGAATAAATTAGTGTCAATTTTTAAGAACGCGAGTGCATTTAATTTCCCACTGTCTGTCTCTTTTTTAAAAAAAATAACCAGGGAAGCTGCGTTTTGCCTTTCAGCCTGTTGGGTAGGCAACCCAATTGACGCTCACGCAGTGCGTGAGCTGCAAAAGTGTAGTTTGCAGTTTGCCAGTTGGTCGCTAGATGGCGTCAAGGGCTCGAAAAGAATTGGGGCTGTCATCGGGCTGGCGGCGGACGGCTTAGCTGGAGTCAGCATTTCAACAGGGCCTCGGGTGAGTAGAGGGGGAACGGGGTGGTGTTTCAAATGCGGAGCAAGCGGTGTCGGACTGTCAGTTCGCTACTGAAGTGCAGTGTAGGAGCGTGCAGTGTGTCGCCAGTGTTGTGTTAGTGCATATCAAAAGAAAAATGAACTCAAGCCAGGGACGTGAGGAAGGCGAGGTCGCCGCGAAAAGACCTCGAGTGATTGAATTAGTAGATTTGTGCAGTACGTATAAAACACATGTGTGGAAAAAAATTAGTGCATGAGTGAAAAAAGTATTATTCGGTTGTCTTAAATTCTTGATGTGTATTTTAAAGGTTCTCCCGAAGACACCTCGAAGAACGTACACCTAGAGTGTACACCTAGAGTGTACAAAATTCCACGCCGCACAGTGGTTCAGAAACAGAAAAAGCTGTGCAAAAGAGATTGGTTGCAGGCCGTATAAGATATTGGTGTGAAACCTTCATCCTGGGGGTTTTTGGGGTCGCCGAATTCATTCCTGAAGTTTTTGAACCATTGACGTAACGCTTAGTCACTAGCGTTACTTTTTTTTTTGGGGGGGGGGGACTGTATGTGTACTGTACTTGTACATTTTCGGGGTCGCTGAATCTATCCTGATGTTACTTTGGACCATAGCCTAACGTTTAATTACTAGCGTTACTTAGTTTTAATTTCAGTTTTGAACGCTTTTTTATTCTTTGCTCCTACGTTTTGGGGTCGCTGAATTTATTTTTGATTTTATTTCAAATCGTGGACGTGCCCCTTTCATACAGGTAAAAGTGTATTGTGCATCACCTTGTCTTTCATTATTTGGAAAAGATTTAAGATATTATTTAAAGAGACATCAGTTACTATTATCCATTTAATGTCGGCTATCGGCGCGTTTTGAGGCGGATATGCAGGTATGCAAAAACGGTGAAGTGCGCTCGAAAGCTGACATGTAGTTTAAATGGAAAATCTCCTTAAAAAGGGTTTCCCCAAAATTTCAGGCCTTTTTAAAAAGTTGTCGAAAAAAAAGTGTTTGCATTGCCGAAGGGGTTTTACACGCGGAAAGAGTGAGGCAACTGAAACC